CAACCGAGCGCAAACCTTAAACAAAGAAATGATACTCTAGGGAATGACATGTGGTCTGAAATGGTAAAACATTACGTCAGAGCTGAAGAGGTTTATTGGTGTCATTTGTTTCGTATTCCCATGTTAGCCTTGCATTCACTATACGTTTGAGAAAGGTCCATTGTAGTGTTAATTTTTCAAAATTAGGCCCCGTCCACACGTATCCGGAAATTTTTGTATCCGCAAATTKTTTTATCCGTATCCGCAAATTTTACGAAAACGGATGCGTGTGGACGGTGAAAACGAATCGAATACGCTACTTGTGGACGCAAACATTTTCGTATCCGCAAAAAAAATATTGGACGGGGCCTTAGTATTTCATTTCTTGATGCATAAAATTGACTGATGGAGCGTTATTTAAAACACTCTTGCTCGTTTATTAAACAGTACATAAACTAACCTTTCCCAAATTTGCTTGACTAATTACAAAACAATGGTTTCAAATCGAGGTGGTTGGACATGATGAATAAAAGTGCAGTCTAGATTTCAAACCAATGTTTCGTGGTCATCCAAGCGAATTCGGACATGTCTTTTCATGTGACTTCTTAGTCCCCGTCCACACGTATTCGGAAATTTTTGTTCCCGCAATGTTTTTTTTGCGGATACGGGTTGCGTCCATACGTTTCCGCAAATTTTTGCATCCGCAAATTTTTTGCGGATACGGGTTGCGTCCACGCGTTTCCGGAAATTTTTGTATCCGTATCCGGAAATTTTCAAAAACGGTCTCCAGAGTAGAAATTTTCGAATACGCTCCGAATACGGATACGTGTGGAAGGTCGTATCCTCAAATTTTCGAATACGATGACGTAACACKATTTTGCGCATGCTCAATAAGAAAAAATAATTGTCAAAGGGACTAGGCACTAGCGTGCATCAGGGCGGATCATGAAATTTCCGGATACGTGTGGACAGTGAAAACGATTCGAATACGCTGCGTGTGGACGCGAACATTTTCGAACATTTTCGGATAGGTGTGGACGGGGCCTAAAGTTCTAACTTTGAACAAAGAAATGTTACTCTAGGGAATGACCCGTTACCTGCTGTACGTTATGAGAAAAGATTGTACGAATTAGGTGTATGGAAAGTTGAATAACCTTAGTTTAAAATAGCAAACTCTCTTGATCTCGCAAATCACTTTAAGTAACTAGAGCAGTTTTCGCATGACTGTGAAAAGCTCAGTGCCGTATAGTCCCGTTTACGATAGCGATTTTTGCGGCGATTTTTGCTGCAATTTTTTTTGCGATTTAGTTCATAATAAATAATGGTAAATAATCTACTTGTAAAGTTTTTTTCAGGATACCAAGATTTTCCTAGACGAATGTCTCTTTTAAAGGATGAGACAAAAGATTTCATATTTCCAAAAATTGC